CTCTTTAGCCCTGTCCATGACCATTTCGCTGCTCCTGACCATTTCGCTGTTCCTGACCCCGAAAGGTTTAATCTTTTTTACTTTTAAATTGTACAAATTGCAATTTCCTCCCTTCATTTGTTCACTCAAATTTCGTTGAGCCGTACTTGAAAACTAAGCTCTTTTTTTGGTTGAGTGCAGCAAAAAAATTCGCATGAGCTACAAGGTTTGTCTGTTTTGCTTGAACTTTAGTTTTTATCATTAATAGTAGTACTATAATGTGGATTGGTTATTGAATTATAAGTGTATTATTTCTTTTGATTTAAATTTGTAAGATAAACGTGGAGTACCGTGGAATTAAAACTGCCCCCGGTCAACCTTCGAAGCAAGTTAATTCCGCTGCTGGGAATCAAGGATTGGTGCCTTCGAATTTCCTATCTCTTACAGGTAATTCCAGTGCCGGAATCAAAGTTCGGCGCCTTCGAATTGCTTGATACTTAATGATTGTTTGATACAGTGATTTTGGCATGTCATGTTGAGAAGCAGGTCCATCTGACTCTAGGAATTCTCAAAAGGAAGGCACTCAAAATGCTTTAGTTGTTGGACCATCTTTGCAACCAAAGGGGAAGTAAGTTCTCTTGTTCTAAACGTTCTATATGTTTACTTTGGTACTGTCTTCCCTGATGAAACAATCAGATGTGGGTTCAATGTTAAATGGGATTGATTGTAATTTGTATAGACCACTACATCATTGTTCTCTTGGAATCTTTTTCTGTTATGTAGAAGAAATTTTGTTGCCGATTCGTGTGACTAATTTTTGTCTTTCTTTCTTCTTACCAGAAATGATGTTGATAATTCTGGCAAAAGCACTGTCATTACTTCTGCTTCGGCACCCTTTTCTGAAAGGTTCTCTCTCCCCCCATTCCTCCTCTCTCTTTATTATGCATCTCAGGCTCATTAATAATTCTGGGAGTTGTGTTACCATGTGATTGTTATTCCGCCATGATACATTTCTTTTCCATGGTGTTTTGTTTTTTCATTGTTTACCTGCTGTCAAATGTAAAAATTCATCTCTCACACAGTTAGGTCTATAATTTGTTTGTATCTTTAATTGACCTTTGTTTAGGCATGGCAAGCTTTTTACGTGAATGTGCTGAAGCATGTTTTCACATTTGAATATAGAAGTATTTTTGTGGTTATATGATCTATTTGTGGATTGCAACATGGCGTGCCACTCTTATCCTTCAAATATAGGACATTTACAGCTTGAAGATTTATGGTTTCCTTCATGTGACAGGCTGACAACCTCTGCTATAATAGAAAGAATCCCAAGCAAATGGCCACGCCCCGTGTGGCATCGTCCATGGAAGAACTACAGGGTGAGAATCTCTGTCTCTGCATCATGGTAGTTGATAGAAATATCAATGGAGTTTGTTGCTGATTTTTTGGTCACGTGTGAAATATTGTTTTCTTCTCTAATTCATTTCTCCTTGGGGGAACATGCTGATTGCGTGTCTTATTCTTTTGATAAACATGTTTATAACTAAAGCTACATCGAGAATATTACTCACTATTTTTTCTATGTATAATGCCAGTCGATTTCATTTGTTGTTTCTTGTTGAACCTCTTTCATCACTGATTCTGTGTATTTCAGTTCCTGTAGATTTCTCGACATGTTTAAATGATTAATGTAGGTCATCAGTGGACATTTGGGATGGGTGAATCTGTTGCCTTTGATCCAAGTAACAACTGGTTCTGTACTGGTTCTGCGGACCGTACAATCAAGGTATATAATTGTGTAGTTGGTAGTTATCCATTTTTTTCTCATTCTCTCATTGTTTCTCCTCTTCTTTAATGCGAGTCTATAAAACAGATATTCATTTGAAAATCCAGTCGTTACTTTTTGAAAATGACTTCCGCCTCTTCCTTGACTTGATTTCGGCATGTTAGATATGGGATGTAGCAAGTGGGAGGCTGAAGCTCACACTGACTGGACACATTGAACAGATACGAGGTTTGTTTTAAGAATTTTTCTCGGGTGTGAATAGTTTTTATGGGCCAACCATACTGTGGGTGATGAATATCAATCATGGATTCAGAATCATTTGAAATCTATATTTTATTCACAGGCCTTGCTGTCAGTAGCAAACACACCTATATGTTCTCCGCTGGCGATGACAAGCAAGTAAAATGCTGGGATCTTGAACAGAACAAGGTTAGAACTGCATAAACTTATTATTTTGGATCCGTAAACGAGTAAGAAATTAGAATGTTTTTATCTGTTGTTGAAATCATTCTTGTTATAGAAACTTTTAAATTGCTGTATAGGTTATCCGGTCCTACCATGGTCACCTAAGTAGTGTTTATTGCTTGGCTCTTCATCCCACAATCGATATATTGCTAACTGGGGGACGTGATTCTGTCTGCCGGGTATGAAAATTTCAACACGTAGAAAACCCTCGGAAATTTTGTTTTAATACAATAATTTTAGTTGTGCTTATGTATATGTGTTTTCTTGAGTCATGAAATCTATTTCATATCTGAGAATAACAATTTTCAGGTATGGGATATTCGCACCAAGATGCAAATTTTCACACTTTCTGGGCATGATAACACCGTTTGCTCAGTCTTTACTCGACCAACGGTACAATGACTATTTTTCCTTTTACAATGCTTTTTGTTAATTTACTGAAAAGAGGATAGAGTTTACTGGAAGAGAAAGAGAGTTATTTTTCTCTGCTATTCCTCTGTTATTCGGATAAACAATTAAATCAGACCTATTAAAATAAGCTGAGTTACGACAGTAGAGTTTTCTAGGTGTTTACTTTCTTATCTGAACAGATAACTATATTATCTTCTACTAAGATAAATTTAAAATACAAGTTTAATACAAAGTAAAACACTGCATACAAAGTACACGGCTATATCCTACACTTTTACCGCAAGAAATTATTGAATGACGGAACTTATGAGTCTCGTGTTATAGGATCCACAAGTTGTTACTGGCTCTCATGATTCAACGATAAAATTCTGGGATCTTAGACATGGTAAATTGAACGTATGCGACTTTTTTTCTTTCTATATTTCCCATCCTTTTTGTTCCATTTATTACATATTGGTTGTTTAACGTCCAGGAAAAACGATGTCGACTCTAACACACCATAAGAAGTCTGTACGAGCAATGGCACCGCATCCTAAAGAGTATGTGCCCCGACATCCAATTAATTGATTTATGCGAAAAACGGAGTTATTCCGTGGTTTTAAATATTTTGCAACTTTGCTGCGTTAGGCATTCTTTTGCGTCCGCATCAGCTGACAACATTAAGAAGTTCAGTCTTCCGAGAGTTCTTACACAATATGCTGTAAGTGAAAGGCATTTTACTTCCATGCTTGAATTCTGGATGTGTGTGTTTGTTCGTATTTTTAATGTAACACGGTGTCGATTGTGTTTCCGGAGCAGCTCTCAGCAGAAGACTATTATTAACACCATGGCTGTAAATGAGGATGGCGTAATGGCTACCGGAGGTGCTTATAATTTCGGTTTTCGTATCAAAATAATTCCGATTTTGTGAATTTCCGTGTACATGCCTCTTTGTAGCCAGAAATATGCAAGGTCTTCTAATAATTTTCCGATGCAAATTATTGAAGGTGACAATGGGAGTTTGTGGTTTTGGGATTGGAGGAGTGGTCACAATTTCCAGCAAGCTCAAACAATTGTACAGCCAGGTATGTTTTTCCGGATTCTTTATCTGTTAATTCTTGTTGATCGTGGATATGGGAGGACAATTAACACTACGGGTTGCTTTTATTACAGGCTCATTGGATAGCGAAGCCGGTATCTACGCTCTCTCGTACGACATAACCGGTACAAGACTGGTAAGCTGTGAAGCAGACAAGACCATTAAAATGTGGAAAGAAGATGAAACTGCAACTGAACAAACTCATCCTCTCAACTTCAAACCACCAAAAGACATTCGCCGGTTCTAGCTGAGCATGTCGGTTTCTCAGGTCGGTGTCTCTATCTTAGTTTTGGTAAAATTTGCTTTTGAGATAATGGAAGACTAGTAATGATACATTCATTAACCCTATTTTGGTGTTAATTGCTAATATTATTATATTCTAAAGCCATTGCTGGCGGTTCAAGAATGTAAGAAGTTTCATATAAAAGTCAATCTGGAGATTATTTGAACTAATCAGTTGATAATATTAATTATTTGAATTCAATTATTACGATTATAAATGAGTTAATTTTTTGTTTGATGGAATAGTGACATTGTTTGATTATATGAAACAACAAAGAGTTGTTTTTATTGAATTATTGTTAATTAGGATTAAATTGACCGAATAACGATATTTTTTTTCTTATTATAAATTTAATTTTAATTTTAATCCTACTTAAAGGAGAGGAGAGGAAAGGGGTACTTAAGAGAAGGAAGGAGAATGCTTCTAGTGGATATATAAATTATGATCTAAGGAAATATGAGAGAACAAAAATGATCAACTTAATTAATCAGCCAAATGTATTTGCTTAATAATGACATTGTTTGAATAAGTTTTTTAAACTGAAATTATAATTATATCAAGTCATATTAAATGTTTGATTTTTTTTTTTAAACTGATTATAATTATATCAAGTCACATTAAATATTTAATTTAATTTTATCGATGGATTAACTTGTTTATAATAATATCTTAATTAATTAAATAAATCATATATTTTTAAAAATTTATTTATACTCAATAAATAATTAAGTAACCTCACGTGTAATTTAACCTTAAAAAACAGACAATCGTAATAAAATCTTCACACCGACCAACCACAAAGCTCGAGAGCGATTATCCCGCGCCAATTTTGATGCAAGAAAACCCTACTCAACCGGTGAATTGCAACAAATGCTCACTCTCTCCTCATAACTCTCGTTTTCTCAACTTGTGGAAACATTCAAGTTCCATCCAAAAAGCAAAGCTTTTCCCTTTAATTGAACTCGGTTTTAATGCCTGTTTTTCATCATAAAAGGAAAATGGCGTCCGAACTGACTCAGAGAAACCACACAGCACCACCCACGGACCAACTCTCGCCAACTCTCACTTCTTCGATCCCTGCCGGAAACTGGAAGACCCCATTCCGTTACATGGCTCAGAAACAGCGTTTTGTCTACGTTCTCGTCGGGATCGCCATTTCCGCCCTGTTTTTCAACTCGCTCCCTGTTTCCACGTTGCAGCAACCGAGCCACGGTTCAAACTCGGTGTCCGAGTCGAGTTCCATGACTCGGAGAGTTCTCTACGAAGCTTACCCCGAAGTCATTCGAGGGAGGAACGCTGGCGGCAAGGTGCCGTTGGGGTTGAAAAAGAAGAGCTTGAGGATTGTCGTGACCGGTGGAGCCGGGTTCGTGGGGAGCCACCTGGTGGACCGTCTGATCGCTAGGGGTGACAGTGTGATCGTGGTTGATAATTTCTTCACGGGTCGGAAAGAGAATCTGATGCAGCATTTTGGGAACCCGAGGTTTGAGCTGATCAGACATGATGTTGTTGAACCGATTCTGTTGGAAGTTGACCAAATCTATCACTTGGCTTGCCCTGCTTCCCCTGTTCATTACAAGTTCAATCCTGTCAAGACCATTATATCCTTTTCTTCCCTTCTCCTTTTCACTTATTTTTCGTTCTTTTGAAATATTCTTATATCGAGAGATTACGGGACAGAGCCATGATAATAGCTTAAGGGGTAAAATATAATTAATCATAAAAGATAAGAGGGATAAAATGTAATTAATCACATAAAATGAGGGGTAAACTTTGTGAAGTGTATTAACATTTAACGATAGGTAATTATGGTTAGGGATCATCATGAGTGAAGTTAGATTAAGATTTTAGTTATTTGAATTCGATTTGAGTATAATATTTTTTTATTTTTCATCTAACCAAATCTAGGTTTAAAGAAGTTTTATCTAATCCGAAATCTAATCCAGTTTCAAAAGTAAAAGCTTATACTCGACTTGACCTGATTAGGAAAAAATATAGACAATGAGTATTATAGTATTTATCTCTAAATATATAAAAATTAATTTAAATATTATTTTAAGATCAAATATTTTTCATTTTAAATTTGAACTAATCCGATCTTATCTTTCAAAAAAATACAACTCCACCTCACCCGAACTTGCTTTTTAATTTTTTTAGAAAACCCAATCTTATGTGTTTAAATAGAGTAAAAATCCGCCAAGTTTGAACCAAATATCTATCCATAATTATACCAAAAATGCCTCGAGAGAACGGTATGTACACATACATGAACATGTGCACACGAAGGGCTTATCAATTGGGCTAGTGATCCTTCAACATGTATGGAGGATATATTGGCTCAAACATTTATTCAAATCCCAAAAAATATGAATTCGGGTTAAGTTCATCTATTTGACATACTATTAGGCTTATCAATTGAGTGGGTCGAATAGATTTGAGTTGAATTAATTTAATGCACTTTACTTTAAAACTTTTTCAAGTCATTATATTTTTTTAGTAATTTTAGGTTCGATCATTTTGGATTTGACTTGTTTCAGATTCGAGTTATTTTAGATTCAAGTTACTTCGTATTTTCATCATTAAATATAAAAGTTAAATATTTTGTTCAGTCATTATCTGTTTAGATCATTTTAAGTTTTAATCACTTTAAGTTTGTGTCATTTCTTTGGATCATTTCTGATCCAGATGAGTTTGAATTCGAGTCAATTCAGATTTAGTAGATAAGTTTAAATTGTTAAATTGGTTTATATTTGAATCGAGTTAGATTGAATTTTTGGAATCCTTGATTTTGATTATTGGGGCTATGGGATGGATCCACAAGACCAATGTGGTGGGAACATTGAACATGCTAGGACTTGCAAAAAGAGTTGGGGCCCGTTTCTTGCTAACCAGCACCAGTGAGGTCTATGGTGATCCTTTGCAGCATCCCCAGGTTGAGACCTATTGGGGCAATGTCAATCCCATTGGTTAGTTCATTCCCAGTTTATGTATATTTACAAAAAAAGAATCGTAATTCGAGATAAGAAAAGGAGTTATAGATGCATAAGTTCTGAACCGTAACTGATCGGAACTCGTATAATCGAGCTAAAATCTGATTCATATGTATTTATTTAACATATTTTGATACGCCGGTAGGTGTACGGAGTTGCTACGATGAGGGCAAACGGACTGCAGAGACCTTGACCATGGACTACCATAGAAGCCTTGGCATTGAGGTTAGTGTTATATTTTATAAGACTCGGAGTGTAATAATCAGAGTAACATAGTCCGATTAACCGTTTATTCAACAGGTGAGGATTGCTCGGATTTTTAACACGTACGGACCACGAATGTGCATCGACGACGGTCGTGTCGTCAGCAACTTTGTAGCCCAAGCATTGAGGAAAGAGCCGATGACGGTCTATGGTGATGGAAAACAAACCAGGAGTTTCCAATATGTTTCAGACCTGGTAAAACCCTAATATTGATATGGAAAACTAAATTAAAACCGCGCTATCATCTGAGTCACTTATGATGCATAGGTGGAGGGTCTAATACGGTTGATGGAAGGCGATCACGTCGGTCCTTTCAATCTCGGAAATCCCGGAGAATTCACCATGCTCGAACTCGCCGAGGTTAAAAATAAAACTCGAAAATCCTCATTATTCATTGAAACCCTAAATTATTCGATGAATGTAACATACTTATTAGGTCTTTGTTACTTTAAAGTTAAACCGATTTAATCTTGAATTCATCCCTGAATGTAAACATACTCTATGAGAAGCACATACCGGTACAATTCGAAGAAGCTAAAGATAGTTCGATATTGTTGTTGTTGTAGGTGGTACAAGAAGCAATAGATCCGAATGCAAAGATAGAATTCAGACCAAACACAGAAGATGATCCACACAAGAGGAAACCAGACATTTCCAAGGCCAAACAGCTTCTTGGTTGGGAACCCACCATTTCCCTACGCAAAGGCCTTCCATTAATGGTGAATGATTTCAGGCAAAGAATCTTTGGTAACCCTAAAACACTTGTTGTCGGAGGTGCTGCAATGGCTTAATAATCATAATTATTAGTTTATTACTCTTTATTAGAAAAAAACCATAGCTATAATATTAAATATAACTTGAGCACTCTTTTTTTTCTTGCTTTTAGAAAATAATAGTAATAAATATAATCATTTTTGTATTATCTTTTTGCAATATATAACGTGCACGTATATTTATGATGTAATAAATATTTAAAAATTAAAATTTTAAAATATGTATCAAGCGATTTGTGTTTGAGTCTTATTTGGACTATGTACTTCAAATAAATTATATAATATTTTTTATCAAGTATTAATTCAGGTATCATCTCTTAAATATCATGTTTTATAATGTATTTAAGTATAATTGCCTTCTATTTAAGATTTAAGGAGATTATAGATATTTTAAATATTGTTTAAAAGGATTTAGACTGCTATTTTAAAACAAAGACTCCCAAAGGAAAAAGAATAGTCGAAAATATGGAATGATTTCATTTTAAATATATCCGATAAAGTTGACCCGTACTCGATTACCTAAACAGATTTACCCGACCCGAGACCCGATATAAACCCAATTATGATGACCTGAAATTGAAAAAAAACCCGGAATAAACCGAATCGAATCGAAAACGACCCAATTTTTAGTTGAATTGAAAACAACCCGAACCAAAAACAACCCGAATTTAATTTACCTATATTCGATTCCAACCGAACTTCGACCCAATTTTAACCCAATAATCGAGTCTAAGTAAATGGATTATTATTATTATTTTGATAAATAGTAAAATGATGCATATTTTATTCTCATTTTGTCCTGAAAATCTAAATATTGACCTGAATCGAGACTATTCAATTCGATATTGACCCGACCCGAAATCAATCGATCTGGTATTGACCGACCCGATCAATCGATCCGATTGATTCGACCCGAAAACCATCGATCTGATATTGACCAAACCCAAAAACCAACCAATCCGATATTGACCTACCTGACACCGACCTAACTTACCATTGACCCAAATTAAAATCAAACCCAAAATGGCCCAACCGACCCAAATCAAGTCTCAAACCGAAATGACCCAACCAAAAATGACTCAACCCGAACCCGATCCGAATGACTGCTTGCCACCTCTAATTTTAAATAAATTTTAAAATTGATCTCAATTTGATGAGATTATTATTTTTATGTAAATAATTAAACAAATAGATAAAACGCATGCAATTTATATAATATATATAAAAATGAATGCATGATTTTATATTTGAATATGAACTTTTTAATATTTTAAGAGAACGTAATTAGATTATCAATAAAAATATTAAAAATATATCAACTTTGAAATTTTCAAGAAACGATTATTCCGCGTTACTTCTCTCTTTCTCCTCTCTCTTTCTCTCTATATTTATTTATATATACACATCTAGAACTCAATATCTATATCATTTTCCATAATTAACGAACCATGAAAATAACGTATAAACAAGAACTTGAGCTGCCGCCTTTACGGGCATCAACCCAACAAACATTCCTTCAAAGCAAAGTTAGAATATATATATATATCTCATAAATTTTATAAAAAAAATATTAGCATAAAGTACACAAATAGTCTCTCTACTAGAAGATGATGTTTTGTTGAGTCTCTTAATTATTAAAAGTTATAAAATGACCCCTGGTATAGAGAATTTTTTTGTTTAATCTCTTGATTATTAAAATTTATAAAATGATCATCTAACTATTCATGTTTTCAAAATTCGTCATTTTTCATTAAAAATTAACAGTAGTCTGGTTGGATTTACTTTGTTAATTCGGAATATGATAAAATCATATTTTAATAATGTCTACTAGCATCATCGTTGCTTTCAAACACTTGCTTGACAACACAATGTTTAAAGCACTGACTTAACGACGTAATGTAAAAGGAGAGTTGATCCATAAAATACAATTTAAATGGTTTGAGGATCAGATTCTATCATATCTCAATTCACATGTTAACATCCAACTCAGACGACCGCTAATCTTTTAACGAAAAAGGACGAGTTTGGAACATGTGAATAGTCGAGTGATCATTTTATAACTTTTAATAGTCGGAGACTCAACAAAGTATCTCCATATAGTCATGATACCATTTTCTAACTTTCAATAGTAAAGAGACTCAATAAAACAACGTCTTATAGTCAAAAGACAATTTGTGTACTTTACCCAAAAGATTATAACATTTAACTAATTTTATATATTCATTTGGATTTTATTCAATCTTGTGAAAAATAATATAATATAAAAGTTTAGCTAACAATCAAGGCAGTAAATTTTTCTTTTTTGAGAGTTTAATTTAAGTGTTAAAATTTTAATTAAAATCGAGTTTGAAATCAGATCAAGGGAAGCAATATAAAAAGGACTCGGGTGGGTAAAAAATTGCCCCACCCAACCTTTTTGGGTCATATCTAATTATATTATAATTATTATATAGCTTTTTAAAGAAAAATATTAATTATAAATATTGAATATTTTAATTTATTGCATTTTGGGATTTTTACAGTTTAAACTCGTTACTTGAGTTAATGGATGAGCATTCATTACCATTAAACTAAACTACTAAAATTACGATGATAAATGATTTGTACTTAAATTTATTGGTCTCACATTTAATCTTTAGTGTTTTTTTTTAATTTACTTTATTTATGTTATATAAAAATGTAAAGATAAGCTGTCAAAAAAATGTAAAATAAAAATATCATTAAAATATTATATATTACACCCTTAAATTTTAAAATTCAGTTGAGTTGATGTTCAATTAACCTATGGCGTAAAACTCAAACATACTTTTATTTAAAACTATAATTTTTAGTGAATTATTTTTATAATTTATACATGAATTTTAATAAAAATATGTAATGTAATTCATAAGTTTTACTTTTATATATAATTTATATATATTTTAACTTGATATTTACAAACTGTTAAAATTATTTTCAATGGAGTACCATTTCATTTGAAGTAATAGTTTGAGATGAATAAAAAATAATATTTATTCATAATTTTTACAGTCGTTGACAATACACACTGTAAACACAGTTATTTGAATCCAAACTTTCAAAAGATAATAATATTTTCTTTTATCACTAAAATTATTCAATGAATACGATATATATATATATATATTGAGAGAGAGCTAAAAATATATATATTTTTTAAAATAATATTAAAAAAATAAGTTTAATGACGAAATTGGTAATTCAAGTACTAATTAGGTATAAAAAGTACCAAATAGATATAAATTGAAAATTTGGGGACTGATGAAAAGGTTTACCCAAAACATCAGCTGAGAGTACATTTACATAGTGACTTACCGCTCACGATTGCAAACAACAGAAAAAGTAAAAAAAAAAAAAAAAATCAATCTTTGTCCTCTCTGCTCTTTCCTGTCGTATCTTGGCTCTGAGATATTTATCTTTTTTGGAGAAAAAAAAAACTCTGAAAATGAGCAGTGAAGAATCAAAGAGAAGCATAACCGGAGCTATGACGGTGAAACCGAAAACGGATGAACGGAAGAATTCTCCGGCCCTTACTGCGGAATCGACTACTTCACCAGCCAGAAAAGTCGTCATCAAAAGCGCCGACATGAAAGACGATATGCAAAAAGAAGCTGTCAATATTGCCATCTCCGTTAGCTCCCTTTCTCAAACTTCCATCTTTTACTAGATTTTAATGGTTTTCGATTCGATTTCGTTTCTGGGTTTTGATCATTTGATCTTGATTTATTAGTAACTATTATAAATTTGATATCTCTTGACTGCTTCTTTTTTCTTCTGGGTTTTCGATTAGGCATTTGAGAAGAACAATGTAGAGAAAGATGTGGCGGAGCACATAAAGAAGGAATTCGATAAGAAACACGGACCCACTTGGCATTGCATGTTGGTCGAAATTTTGGTAGCCCAATTTCCCATTTAGATTTAATTTATCTTCATGAATATACACAAGTTTGATTTTTATGCAAAATAGTTTCTTTCCAGTAATGCTGCTATTTTAGATTAAATCAAAGCAGATCTAGGCTTAAAAGAGATTTAGATTTCCATTTACTTTATCTGTTTCTGGTGTTGTATTGTAATTGTTTCTTCGTTGCTATGGAATTTCTGGGTTAAGATCAAGAATGAATTTAGTATTTCAATGTAAGGGAATACTCCGATTTTTGGTCTCAAACTTTATCTGGCGCTTCAATGAATGATTTAGTAACTTTTGTTCGGTCAAGAGTATGGCCTAATCCGTCTTCGTTCAACCCCGATTTATCTTTTGTTGTTATATTTCACTATTTTTAGTTTATACAGGATTTCATAGAGCCTGGTTTCATTAGGGGTGTGAGTATGGCCGTTGGCCATGTGTGGATTTACTCCCAATGTTGTCAAGGGCGGTAGGCGCACTCTAAGGGCTAAGACCTCCATATAGCCCGAGACACGAGTTGCAAAAAAAGCCCAGGTTAATAATAATTCATCAATGTGCTTAATAACCTATTTGATACCTCCAACAGCCTTATTGATATGCTATTTCCATTTAGTTGATGGAATTAATGTTGGACCTGTGTTTTGTACTGTATATCATACGTGATATATCTTTTTCTATTGAATAAGAAAGTGGTTGGAACTCAGATTCGAGGAAGGAGATGAGAGAAGGGGTGGGGGATTCATGGGATGTAAGATCGCTAATAGGTTAGATATACCTTACTGCATTACAAAGACAAGTAGCCGATATAAGTGAAACGCATATTACCCAAATATGGAGCATGTAACAATACTATGTTTTTAATGAGGCTGTTGTAATTTTTCATACATTCCGCAGAATTTTAACTGCTATAATTTTGGGAATGCGTTGGTAGTTTAACCAAATCATACTCTTTGGGGTTCATCCTGGATTCCGTGGATTGTATGCTACACGTTATAATAATTGATGTATGCTGTGTCATGGTATACAACCTATCTAAAATACCCGTATTTATAAACTTGGACTGATAGTGCTACACTTCCTCAGTTCTTAGTAATAGTGCTACCTGTATTTATAAAGTAGTTCTGGGTAATCTACA